ATAAACAACTTGGCCAACCTTACTTCATGCGTCGAACAGCTTTTAGGTAACATACAATTTCTCAACTATACTCAATTTGTTTATATTCTATTATAGGTATCAATATAGAAGTGTTCCTCTCGAAACACTAGTATGCACACGACTTCTGAGGCATGGTGTGAGAGATGGAGGCATGTACCCGACAACAATGAAGTATCCAGCAACAATAAAGCGAGCTTGTCCTTGGGAATTGGAGATGCCAGATTATACACCAACCCACCAAGAGGCTGCAAGAGGCAACAATGAAGATGTGCCGGATGACGAAGATGATGGCCATGAGAATGTCAACACTATTAGTGCCAATGGTGAGGAGAGTGAAGATGGCAGTGAGAACGACTTGCAAGAAATTCCTCCAGACAAAGTCTAGCAAAAGAACCAAAACGTCAAAGAAGTTCTACCTTGACGAAAGCATGCAAATCCATATCTAGAGGAATTAATTAACAGTGATGATGATCATCCAAGACGTCCCCGTAACCGAGGAATTTCTCAAGGTATATTTCTCTTAATTCTCTCCTTTTCTTAGTTCCTCAAAATGGTTGCAGCAAAAACTGTTGGGAGTAACTTCATTCTAGCTCGTCTTGATGCCCAAGAAGAGGACCTGGAGGAACTTACATTTACCACACACCACATGATGGTATATAAATTTTTCTTAAGTTCACATTTTATCTTTGTCTTCTCCCCTTAGATTCGCTCTATTTCTCCAGTGGCATTCCATGGTGAAGTTGGGATCTTTATTGGCTCCTACAGTTCATTGATGGCATCTTTTGAGGAGGATGCTGAGAATATGGCTATCTAGCAAAAGTGGGAGCGCTTTTGTCAGAAAATCCATAGGTGACCTCTCAAGAGCACAAACTTCATGCTCTTTGACATGCTAGATGGTCTTCCAGGTATTAATGGTGATGTCTCAAGCTGGAACAACCTGACTAAAGACCACTTGAAGGATGCATTCCTTTTGGCAACAATTCTCCTTCACACAACTGGTCAAGTTGCCTTCATTCTCTTGAATGACCCCCATTGGATGTCCTACCTTATGAGGTATATAAGTTGAGTCAACTTCAAGAGGTTCTCTTTTGGGTGCATCATGGATAGTGTTGGGGTTGAGACTAAAGGCGTCCTAGGCATACCAGAGAAGGTAAGAAATCATCTTCTGTTTTAGTTGTCTCTAAAGTTTTATTATTCAAGTTATGACATGGACCTACCATGTGTTCTGTAGATGAGAAAATGACAGTTTTCGTGATAGTGAGCGTGTTGCAAGGGTTTTGCCATGGTATGAGAGCTTTACTGACATCATACCAAATCTCATAGACGACGACATCCGCAACACATTGTCTGGGTAT